TAGCTTTGTGAAAAATTTCATGTGGGCAAAACCAAAGTAGCTTATTTACACTTCAGATTGTTCAATTAAATTAATTATTACCCTTCACTCAAATTAAAACCTAAAGTAAGTTTTAGTATCTCCTTGTGATCAAGAGTAATAACTCAAATGACATTTAAAAAAAAATCCTATTAACCTGTTAGTGGTCTGAACCAACCAGTCCTTCTCGGGAAGCAGTCTATTCTTGTATAGATTACAGTATTGGAAACACTATGGAGCAGTTCCTTCTTGCACTTTAGGGTCATTATATGATTAGGAATTAACACAAAAGCATTGAGTGGGTAACAGTAAAAGATAAGTATTCTGGAAAACACAGGATTTGTTCTGATTTCATTCATGCTGTCTATATATGGTAATCCATGGATATCAGATTTAAAGAATGAGTATCTAAATCTTTCACACAGATTTTCTTTTTGTGAGTCATAAAATTATTGTAGCAACAAAGTAGCCAGAAAAGATTTGGAAATTAGTGGGAAAGAGAAAATAATTTTCCAGTATTTGGTTTTAAATGTAAATAATTTCATTTCTCTTTTTTTTGCTTCTAAAGCTTAAGCAGAGGTTTCAAAAAGTCTACAAACAATCACCAAAGAAAAGTTCAACATGGGCTATTTTAAGCTTGCCTTTCAGTGAAGTGTTGCAGAAGAGTCCTGAATATCCCATGGACTGTCAAAAGAACAAGTCTGTCTTGGAGAAACTACAATGAGGGTGTTCCTCAGAGGTAAAGATGGTGAAACTACACACATATTGGGCATGTAGCCAGGAAGCTCCAAGTCCTTGGAAAGGGACATAATGCTAGGAATAATGGAGAGTCATAGACAAAGAAGAAACTTCCAACAAGATTTACACAGTGATGAAAATATCAAGCTGGAACATATGAGAAATTGTGAGGATGTTACAGAATAGGGCAACATTCAGATCTGTTGTTTACAGGATGGCTAGGAGTCCCAGACTACTCAATGTTTCCTATCAACAATAATTTACTTAGAAAGATCACAGAGAGTTAATTCTGACTCTTCCCAATCTTCAAACAGGTTTTTGAGGCAACTGTAAGAGTCTTTATGAGAGGAGATTATCCATCTTTCTCCTAAGGAGTGGCAGAGGCATTCTAACTGCTGATTCTTCAGTTTGCTGTTATATGCTGTGGAGTCCTGACTCATAGCTGACCTTCCAGAAGGTTTTCAGAGGCTGTAAATTTTTTATGGAAAGAGATCTTGCCCATCTTTTTCTCGCAGTACAGCTGCTGGATTCAAATCACCTTCCTCTGAGTTTGCATTACAGCTCTTTACCACTAGGTCACCAGAGTTAGCAGCCTAACTGTTATGAATGACACCACCAAGGCTCCTTATTTTACTGAGAGACCATTGATAATTATTACTAATACACCTAAACAGTTTTCAGTAGATCTTTAACATCTTTCTACCTTTTCAAATCAGTCTACTGATTGTTGTTGTTGATTGATGAGCAAGACTCATAGTGACCCTATGAACAAAAGGACTGAAGCCTTTCTATAACTATTGACATTTATCAAAGTTCATAGAGTTTCCAGAGGCATGCTGTTTAGGAATTGAATGCCACTCCTGCTGACTATCTTTTTCTTTTGCTTTATTAGCTTTTTGTATGAAAACATGTTAACTTTTAGAATTCAATGAACTGTCTTTTCCCAAGTTGAAGAGATATTTTTTTAAAAAATATTTGTTTTAAAGTTCTAATAGAATACAAATAATCTGAAGTACTTTATCTTTTCCTGTTAGAAAAGATAAATCTCTAAAAATACACACACACAAAATTCATTTAAGAGTATAACTATATAACCAACAAATAATTTTCCCTAATAAATTTAAGATTTGAGATTATTATTTTGTATATAATGATTCTCAAGATGATGTTTGGTATGTTGTTTTGTTACGTGTCATCGAGTTAACTGTGGCCCTATGCACAACAGCTCTGAACTTTGCTCTATCCTGGCCAATCTCACTGTCCTCAACATACCTACTCAATTATCCAGTTACTATTATCAATCCATCTCATCCAGGGTATTCCTCTCCAGTGCTGTCCCTCCACCCTTCCAAGTAGGATGTCCTTCTCTAAGGACTAGTCTCTCCTGGTCACATGCCCAAAGTATATGAGATGTCCAAACTGCCTGCCTTTTAGTTGGTAGTGCAATTCCCTATCCATTATGTCACCAGAGCACCTTTCCCTGAACAAGGATGGTTTTGTTGTTAAGCATCCTCAAGTCAGAACCAACTCATAGTTGACCTTCTAGTATTTTTTTAAAAGTTGTAAATCTCTTTAGAGTGTAAAAAGTATATTGTTAGAAGTATAAAACAGGGTCTATAAAGCTAAGGGTATACATTAGCCTAAATGCTAAGAGAGAAACACAAATTTGTTATGTCATGCTTGGCTATTGTCATTGCTATGTGCCCCAAGTTGCCTGTGACTCAGTGACCCTATGTATAAAAGCACTAAACTCTGCTCTATCTTGAGCCAAATTCGTTGTCTCTGACACACCTACTCCCATTACTCTAGTCACTAAGTCAGTCCATCTCAACCAGGGTCTTCCTCTCTTGCACTGACTATCCTTCAAAATACGATATCCCTCTCCAAAGACTGGTCCCTCCTGGTAACTTGCTCAAAGTATGTGAGACAAATTTCAAAATCCTTATCTCCAAGGAGCAGCCCAGTTTCACCCGACTGTAGAACAGACACATCTGCTCTCTTTGCAGTCCATGGTATGTTCAGTATTCTTCTCCAGTATCACAACTTAAAGGCATCAATTCTTCTGTCATCTTTGGTCACTGTCTAGCTCTCTGAAGCACAGTAACTGTGAAGACCATATGCCTAGATGAGATGCACCTTAAAGTCTCTAGACTGACCTCGCTGCTCTTCAGCACTCTAGAAGTCCTTGACAGCAGCTTTCCCCAGAGCAATTCATCTTCTGATTTCCTGACTGCTGGTGTCAAGGGTATTAATAGTGGCCCGCTCAAGCTGAAATTGTTAACAATCTCAATCTCTTCTCCATCTATCATGGTGCTGCCAATTTGCCCAGTGATGAGAATCTGTTTTCTTGATGCTGAGCTTCAGTACATATTGCAGACTATAGTCCTTAACCTTCTGCAGCAAATGCCTAATGTCCTCCTCGGTTTCAGTAAGTAAGGTTGTGTAATCTGTGTAACACATGTTGCTTATGAGTCTTCCACCAATTCCCATGCCACATTCCTCCTCATAAAGTCCAGACTCCCAAATGATCTGTTCCACATAAAAACTGAGTAAGTATGGCGATAGGATGCATTCCTTACACACTCCTTTACTGATTTTTAAACAGGCAGTGTTTCCCTGCTCTGTTCTGAGGACTGCTTCCTGGCTCAAGTGTAGGTTTTGCATAAATATAATCAAGTATTCTGAGAAGATTCCCATTCTCCTCAAGGTTAACCACAATTGGTTGTTATCCACACAGTCCAATGCCTCTGCAGAGTCAATGAAACATAGATAGGCATTCCTCTGATATTCTCTGTTTTCAGCTAAGATCCATCTGACACTGGCTATAATGTCCCCAGTGCCACAGCCTCTTCTAAACCCAGCTTGTATTTCTGGTAGTTCTCTGTCAATGTACTGTTCCAGTTGTTTGTGGATGATCTTCATCAGGATTTTGCTATGTGTGATATTAGTGATATTGTTCAATAATTTCCACATTGTCTGATAACCTTTTTTTTGAATAGGAATAAATATGTATTTCTTTCAGTCATTTGGACAGCTAGTTGTCCTCCAGATTTCTTTGTACAACTTGGTGAGCATGTCCAGGGCTGTACCTGTTTTTTTAAATAATGTCAACTGGTATCTCATCAATTCATGACACTTTGTGGGTTTTTTTTGCAAATTCTTTGACAGCAGCTTGACCTTCCTCCATCATCACTGCCTCTTGGTCATAAGTTGTTTTATGAAATTCTTCTGAGTCAGCTAATTCTTTTTGGTGCAGTGGTTCAATGTACTCCTTCCAGTTTCTTTTGATGCCTCCTGGACCATTCAATATTCTACCCATACCATCTTTTAAGTACTGCAACTAAAGGCCTGAATTTGTTCTTCAGTTCCTTCAGCTTAAGAAATGCTGGACAAGTTCCTCCTTTTTTATATTCGGACTCCAGCTCTTTGCACATTTCATTATCATCCTTTGCTTTGTCTTCTTGAGCTGGCCATTGAAATTTTCAGTTCAGCTCTTTAACATTCTGGATTCTTCTCTTTGCTTTAGCTTCTCTGTGCTCTATTCAGAAGTGTAATATTCAGAAGCTCTTCTGACACTCACCTCAGTCTTTTATGGATAATATTCTCGGTATCTTCCCACATATCATCTGCCCTTCACTCATTAGTGTTCAAGGCTGCAAATGTTTTATATATATATATAAAAAATGTATTTTATTTATATATATGTGTGTGTGTATATATATACATACATACATATATATAAAATGTATTTTCTTTTTAAAGAATGAAGATCATTACAAAGACAAAGAAGGAAAAAAGACTGAGGTGAGTGTCAGAAGCGTGCTCTATTCAGAAGTGCAATATTCAAAAGCTCTTCTGACACTCACCTCAGTCTTTTTTCCTTCTTTGTCTTTGTAATGATCTTCTTCATTCTTTATTCAGATCACAAAAGGAGAAGGAGATTTCAACAGACACAAGAAAGCAGAAGAAAACACAGGTAATGAACCAAACTTTGTATTCACTCAGAACTGAAACATTAAAAACTGCTCAATTTCAGTTACTGGTCTCTTTAAGTATTAAGAACCAAACAAAGTTGGCCTAAAGCACATGTTATTTTAACATAACAGATATCTCCTACATACAACAATGAAAAATAAACACCACCAATACTCTAGTTTCCTTTAAAGTATAATTACTATTTGCCAAGAAAAGGTTTACCAATGCATACGACACTACTCCATGTACTTTAATGATGTTTCACTTACCTGAGGCCGAGTTCATCATATTCTGCTGGACTGGTGGACTGGTGGGAGCTGTAACATTCAGCTGAGAGAGCATAGCCTTCCTGGGGTCCTGCCAGGTTGTTGTTTGATCGATGTGACTGAGGTAACAAATTGGGGGGAGGGGGGAAATTACTGCATTAGATAACAATGATACTCAAAATATGGGCTAACTTGGGAACTTTTCTAAGTTAGTTCTGTATTAAAATACAGTTTAAAAAAATACAGTTTTGTCATCTGTGTTCACATCCTGTATCAGACATATTTTTCATATTTAAATCATTCATCCTTTACAACTGATCTTAAAACTGCCAAGATTTGAAAAGTTAAATGTAGAATTTTAAAGAAGCGATTATTACTTTCTCATAGACGATATTGTTGGTTGCTATGGAGCTGCCCCTTAACTATAGGTACCACAAGCACAAAGAGTGTAATTTTGTCCAATCCTGTGTCATTCTCATATAGAACTTTAGGATCCGCTGGATGTTTGGAAGTAGAGCAACAGGTTTTTCTCTCTAGTTCATCTTATAGCATGGAAGCTTTGCCACAAGGTGATAGCTGCTTTAGATGTATACTCCTTTTTGTTTTATGTGTCCTATGACTCATAGAAACTCTATAAAACAGATCAGAATGATCCCCTATCCTGCATCATCCTCATGATGTAAAAAAATAGTATGAATCCTTATGTGCCAAAAGGCTGGCAGTTCATCTAGAGGATCGGTGAAAGGCCTGACCACCTATGGTAAAAAAAAATAAAACCCAAACAAAACCACACTGAAAATCATATGCAGCATTAATTCTTCTTGGACATATATAGGGTTCACCATGACCTGAAATAGAGTTAATATCAACTTACTTACTGGTCCCATCCTCCTGTCATCACACTTCTTTTTTTTAAAGAATAGCAATTCCTTCTAGGCCTAAAATCACTTTGAAGCAATACATGAAAAGAAAAAAATGTCTTTATGACAATAATCTGGAACAAGAGGTGCCTTGCAAAGTGGACTGGGAGAGAGAGAATGGAGGTAAAGGGTAGAACATGTGCAACAATGAATGAATGAAAAACCCAACCTTTCTGTAAACTTCCTTTAAAACTCATAATATTATTTTTAAAAAAGGTCTTATATCTGAAAGCCAAAACAGAATTGAAAACATTGTCTCTGAATTGTTATGTACCACTGAGTCAGAATCAACTCATAGCTGCACTAAGTCAGAATCAACTCATAGCTGTTGTCCAGTGGGTTTTCGGAGGCAGTGAATCCCATGAGAAGATCTTTCTCCCTCTGAAGAGCTGGTGGATTAAAACTGTATGCCTTTGGGTTGGCAATGCAACTAACTCCTTACCACTATGGGAATTAAAGACCTCGTCTTCCACATACAGACCTTTTTCATTTTATAAAATTTTCTAAATATTAGCTTACTGCAACCTCTCTTGTATTATGTTGTTGATGTGTACCATCAAGTTGGAACTAAATCGAAGCTGACCCTCTAGCGGGTTTTCAGAAGCAGTTAAGTCACACAGGAAGAGATTACCCATCTTTCTCCTGTAGAGTACCTGATGGATTCAAACTGCATGCCTTCAGGTTGGCCGCACAGCTACTTGCCAAAGGCCACTACAGCTCCCTATCATATATACATGTGTTTTGATTTCTTCATATACGTAACACAGGGGTTAAAAGTAACTAAAACCTCTATAAAATGTAAGGATGCACAAGCTGATACATGACTTTTCAGTAAGTTTTCTTCCATCAGCAAAACTGTCTATGAAAGAAAACTAAAATATGTCATTACATAAAACAATCTAAACATTATCCTTAAGAAACAAAAATATTCAAAAATATGTGCATAAAGGCATACTCTGGTGGCCTAGTGGCAAGAAGCTGCACTGCAATCCCAGAGGTGAGTGGTTCGAATCCACCTGATGCTCTGCTGGAGAAGGAGGAACAATCTCCTCCTGTACCAGTCAGATTCGATGGTACACACTCAAAAAATACATTTTTTTAAAAAAAATGTGCATAAATTTTTACCTGTATCATTTTAACAGAATATGTGAAAGTCTCTGATTCCAATAACCAGGGATCAGTTGTTGTTTGTTGTTGTTATGTGCCATCGAGTCACCTGCGACTCATAGCGACCCTATGTACAACAGCCCTAAACTCCGCTCTGGTGTGTGCCAATCGCACTGTCTCTGACACTCCCATCCCAATTATCCCAGTCACTGAATCAATCCACCTCAAAGAGGGCCTTCCTCTCCTGCGCTGTCCCTCCACCCTCCCAAGCATGATGTCCCTCTCTCTAAGGACCGGTCTCTCCTCACAACATGTCCAAAGTAAGTTAGACGGAGCCTCAGAATCCTTGCGTCCAAGGAGCCACCCGGTTTAACCCTTTCCAGGACAAATCTATTTGTTTTCCTAGCAGTCCATGGTATTCTCAATACTCTTCTCCAGCACCACAGCTCAAAGGCATCAATTCTCCTTCTATCCTCCTTGGTCATTGTCCAACTCTCTGATGTTTAACAGATGATTGTGAAGACCATGGCCTGTATCAGATGCACCTTAGTCTCCAAAGAGACACCACTGCTCTTCAGCACTTTGGAGAGGTCCCTAACAGCAGACTTTCCCACTGCAATGCGCCTTTTAATTTCCTGGCTGCTGGTGCCAAGACTGTTGACTACGGAGCCAAGCAAACTAAAGCTGTGTACAGTCTCAATCTCTTCACCATCCATCCTGATGCTGCCAATTGGTCCAGTGGTGACAATCTTTGTCTTCTTGACATTGAGCCTCAATCCATATTGGGACCAGTTAAATATGGTAATATACGGTGTTATTACTAAGTAGTTATGGCAAATCTTGTAGAACGTATAACATGGAAAATATTCATAATGCAGTTTTAAAAGAATTTGTAGACCAGTATGACTAGGGCTAAATGTTTAGATAAGAAATATGTACATATATGCACTAAAAAAGATATGAAAATGACTAACTTTTTTGAACAGTGTTTAGGGATAGTACAACCACAGAAGAGTTCAACTTTACTAGGTTTTCCTATTGTTAAAAGATTATGAACTCATTACTTTCAAAATTGGGGAAAGGAAAAGAAGTGTCATTCTATTTCTTTTTAAGGAAATAATTTTTCGTCTCCTCTTCCCAATTTCAAAAGTAATGGTGTAGCTATTTAACTTTCTGAGTTGGCTATTCTTCAATCATCTCATCAGCAATGAAATCACCTTAACTCTCTTAAAATAAAAACTAGAATACTAGAATGCTATCTCATCAATAACTTTATCTTATGAAGGACACAATTACCAAAAGATCACAGACTATAGTAAGTGTTTACTATCTACCAGAGATAGAAGTTCTTTTAGCTCCTGGACAAACAGGAAGGGAAAGAAAAGTCTGCAACAATACCAAGCACACTAATTTTGTGTCTTTCTCACTCACATACAAAGGCAATGCAACAGATAAAAAGTTTCAATGGCTTTTAGTAACACAGAGCAGGCAGAAGTTTGTTCTGTTGTACAGTGTCACTATGATTTAGGGGACAGACCCTAAAAAGGCAAGAAAAAGTGTCCTACAGTCAAGTTCACACATGTGCTAATTTTTCATAGAACTTTAAAATTTCACTTTCCAGAGAAAGGGTCAACTAATCTGAGGATTCTGAGGATGATAATATATCTCTTCTGGGAAGCCAATGGCAACAGACAAAGATGAGGGGGAGGAATGAGAAAAAAAATTGGTGTTGGAATGGTTAAAAGCATAGTGTGCATACAGTCAAGACTTCTTACTCATGAATGGAAACCTATCACAATGGTTCTTATTCACTCCTCAAAACAATCTTCCCCTAATAAATAAGGGCAAAGAAACTAAGAAAGATAGAATAACTGGCCTTCAACAACACTCAGTGAAGTCGTCTGGCCTTCTAGCTTTCTGCCATTTTCACTCACATTTTACTGGTTTATACAGAATATATTTTAAAATGGTAAAATATTTTTTAAATAGTCACTAAGGCAAAGATAATTTTTATAAAAAATATAATTAAAAATACGAATCAGAAACTTTTAAATGCTTCCTTTTTAAACTCTAACTTAAGATTAATATGGAACTAGCAAACAAGCTCTGTCATCAGAACAGAAAGCATCTTTATTGCATAAAATGCACAATTACTACAGGATAAGTAATGACTGCTGGACCGTGGAACTGATAGAGACTGATTATGAGGCTGTTAAGTTTACAATTTCTGTTTCTTTAAATTGATAGTTAGCAACTTTTAAAGGCCAGGCTTGTTTTAGCACTTCCTCCTTTGTTTTACACTTTAAAGCATGGCTTTCTGGCAAGAATAAAAAGAGAATAAAAGAGGCAGACATCATAACCTGCAAACTATCTGTCCTATATAGGCATTATGTTATACTGTAATATTCAATTCCCCATAAAAATGTTTATTTCAGAGACTTTTGTTAAATTGTCTCTTAAAAAAGTTACTTTAAAATTCTCATGTAAAGAAGTACATATTTTTTAATTTTTAAAAAACAAAAGTACAAGTTTTAAGAGGGAAACTGAAAGAATTTGTTCTTGAAAACAATGTACTCAAATTTTGTAAATAAACTAGTAGAAAATTTAAAAAAACCCCAACTCCCAAAAAAAAAGTTTTAAGAGAAATAAGCTCATTTTGGAAGTAAGACATGCTTCACTTTGGGAGAGACAAACTGCAAGAGACAATGTGGTGCTGCTGTTTACCTTCAAGTCAGAACCAACTCACAGTTAATCCTCCAGTGGATTTTCAGAGGCATGGGAATAGACCTCATAGGAAGAGACTGCCCATCTTTCTCTCAGGGAGTAACAGGTGAATTGAACTGTGTGCTTTTGGGTCGGCAGCACAACTCCTTACCACCATGCCACTAGAGCTCCTAGACCATGTTGTCTGTTGCTGTTAAATGCCGTCAAGTAGTAGGCAACTCATAGTGACTCTATGAACGAAAAACCTGGACACTTGTATAACTATCGTCCTTTCTCCAAGTTCATAGGGTTTCCAGAGGCTAGCTACTTCTGAAATGAATGCCACTTCTGCTTCCAAGCTTGTTTTAAGCAGGGAGCTCCACCAAACA